AGCGTGGGGGGGGAGCGATGAGCTGGGGACTGGAGGGCAGTGAGCCTGGGGGGAAGTGATGAGCTAAGGGTGGAGGAGACTGGGGGCGCAGAGGAGAGGCTGGGGGCAGTGAGCCTGGGGGGAAGTGATGAGCTAAGGGTGGGGGAGACTGGGGGGGCAGTGAGCCAGCAGAGGGGGAAAACAATGAGCTGGGGACTGGAGGGCAGGGAGGCTGGGGGGGCAGTGAGCCGGGGGAAGGGAGGTGTTGGGGGCTGAGGGCAGGATGGGGAGGGGCTGGGGGAAGAAGGAGCTGGGGGAAAGTGATAAGCTGAGGGCAGTGAGCCTGGGGGGAAGTTTCGGGGGGGTAGCCGTGTTAGCAGGGCCGGTGCAACCTAGGGCGCCAAGATTTGGGGGCGCCGCCGCCAATCAAGACTAGGGTGACCAGACAGCAAGTGTGAAAAATTGGGACGGGGGTGGGGGGTAATAGGACCCTCTATAAGAAAAAGACCCAAAAATCGGGACTGTCCCTATAAAATCGGGACATCTGGTCAGCCTAATCAAGACGCTGGCTGCAGATCGCAGCCTGTAGGGAGGTAGGACGTACATGATAAGAACCACGCTCCCAATGAATTGCTCTCCAGCCATTTAGAAAGCCAGTGAAGGCCTTTGATTGGGAATGGATACAGATAGGTACATTTACACAGTACTATCTCCTCTGGCTTGTAGATTGCACAACAGCCAGAAGGAGAGTAGAGCAGCTTGCGGGGGGTGGAGGGGAGTGTAAGACACCCCCCCACCACCCCCCGCCGGGGCTGAGCTGTGCTGTCAGTGCGGTGCAGCCTTGCATGGCATGCTCGGAGAGCGGGCTGCAGGATTTGCAGGCAGGGGCTCTGCTCCCTGGGGAGAGACGGGAGGGACGCCGCGGCTGGCAGCTCTGCGGGCTCTCTCGCATGGAGGGGTGGCTAAGCCTCTCTGCGCCCCAGTTTTCTACCCTCCTGACCCTGCTTTGGCGTGAGGGCCGCGCACTCTCTGCCTCACAGTCCTGCCTGCCCCACGCCCCCCTGCTGGAGTGAGAGCCCAGCACTCAACGCCCTGGCCCGGGCGCAGGACGGACTTGTGAAGGCAAAGCAGGCAAC